AGTGCATAGTCTTACGAGTCTATTTACTACATTAGTCTTTTAATAATAAGAGTCTAAATTTATTATAGTAGTTAGGTTTATTTTTGTCTCTTTTATATATATATTAAAAGACCATCTTATCTAGCTATGAATTGTATTGTAATTTTTTTTTCGCACATAATTGTTAATGCTATATAAGGAACATATTAATTGTTTGTCTTGAATTTTCGGGTTGTTACAATTTTTACCAAAAAATTATTTTCTTTTGTAAAATCAAATATGTATATGATTTCTTCTTTTAAAATATGTTTTATAACTTTTTTTTTTTTACTTTAGATATTATTATTTTTATTTATATTTAATTTATAATATTTTCTTGATAGAAGCTTGTAATAAATTTTATTAACGTGAACTATTATTTTTTATAAATATAAAATTCAATAGATTTTCTTAAATCAATTATTTATTACAATTTAATAAATATATTTTTTAATGTAATATAATAATTATTTTATTGATAAATGTTACTGACATTAGAATCTAATAAATGGAGCCTTCATCAGCATGATTTAAGCACAGAGAACTTTTGTTAAAGTCATGTAATATGCTATGTAGTTCCTTACATAAGTGAAAATTTAGTACATAGTTATTTTCGTCATCACAACCCAACCAAGATACAGTGTTTTATTTTTATTACGAAATTATTCTAACAGCTTCAACAGAGAATCACTCTTCTCATTACACATTAGCATAACAGCTGTAGCCTATTTTTCTTCCTAAATTTCCAACTTTAGAACCGGAATCAGTATACACACTACACATTGGTATAACAAATTATTTCTGTGAGAGAAAAACGTGGAAAAAATCTCAGTACCCAAAACAGAAACAAAGAGAAAAAGGAGAATAGATATCATGTAGCTTTTAATTTTCTTTGCCACTTTGAAGGAAAATTTTGCCACAAATGGCGTGCATGAAGCTGGGATCCAAATCTGAAATGTTTTACCTCTATGGCCAAAGTTGGTCAGTTCTTTTCCACTTTCTTATTGTTTAATTACATCTCTATAATCTCATAAGCGATCTTTATCCCTTCACGTTGTGTCACTGTTATAGCATGTTCCCTTCATCCTTTGACAAGCTTGAAATACTAGTTTTGGTTAATGCTGAAGAAGTTTCTGTCTTGTCTATTGGTGGCTGATGAATGCATGCATGGAAGTGAATATGTTTTCACTGTTTCAAACAAAGTAGATCAGTTGTATAACCAACATGATAAACCTTTGTGTGTGTTTCATCTAAGATCTATTGGATGCGTGGATGATTCCATTTGTTGTGTGATTTTTCCCAACAGATGTTCAAAATCGAATTCACAATGTGAGAACATTATAACTTCAATTAAATTCCTACTTGTTCTTTGGTTTATAGCGACAAATTTGAAGCCGAATTCTGAACCCGGTTACATCAACACTGTCTATATATTCTGTACATGATTCATCATTTTCTTTATCAGTGAAATCTTGTTATAGTTTATCAATTATCAGTAACCTCGTTGGCTTCTTCTAGGCTGTGCTCAACTGGACTCCCAAGTGATATCATCATTGAAATTGGTGATACATCTTTCCATCTCCACAAGGTGTGTTTTCTTACTTTCTATTGTTGCTTTCTAATAATATATCTCCAGATACATACCATGCGTTTTTAAGATATCATTGAATGCATCACAAAACAATAGGAGCATCTGTTATGCTTCAAACTATATACATTTGTTTGTTGTCATTACCAGTCACATTGCATGATTAATCCGTTTCTTGCCGCGTTAGCAGTTTCCACTGATATCAAGAAGCAGAGAGCTAGAAAGTTTGATGAGAGAAGTACCATGCGAACCTGATAAGTCTGTTTTGGAACTGCATGGTCTACCTGGAGGAGCCAAGGCCTTTTTGCATGTTGCTAAGTTTTGTTATGGTGTCAAAATGGAGTTGACTGCATCGAATGTTGTTGGTCTCAGGTGTGCAGCAGAGTACCTCCAAATGAGTGAGAACTATGGAGAGGGGAACCTCATCATGCAAACAGAAAAATTCCTTAATCATGTGTTTGGTTACTGGACAGACACTCTGGTTGCTCTTAAAACATGCGAGGAGGTTTTACCTATGGCTGAAGAGCTTCACATCGCTTCACGTAGTATAAACTCTTTGGTGCTGAAAGTAGCAGATCAAAGTTTGGTTAATTTGCCTGTCTCATCGGGTCCAAGTGTTGCTCAGAGTCCAGAGGATGCAGAAGTGTGGAATGGAATAAGCCTAACTCCAAAGGCATCAGGTGAAGATTGGTGGTTTGATGATGTATCTTCTCTTAGTTTGCCATTGTATAAAAGGTTCATACGAGGTGCTAGTGCACGAAACATTAAACCTAATAGAATTGCTGGATCCCTTGTTTACTATGCAAAAAAGCACATCCCCTTATTGGGAAGTCAAACAAGCTCACAGAGTGGAAACTCGTCTTCTCTTAAGTCATCTCTTTCTACCCCTTCTGAAGCAGATCAGAGGAATCTTATTGAGGAAATAGTGGAGTTGCTGCCAAATGAAAAGGGCATAGCACCAACCAAGTTTTTATTGGGGTGTCTGCGGACAGCAATGGCCTTATACGCTAGTTCATCTTGCTGTTCAAGCTTGGAGAAAAGGATTGGTTCTCAATTAGATGAAGCAGATCTGGAAGATCTTTTGATTCCAAATATTGGATTCTCAATGGAGACTGTTCATGACATTGACTGTGTCCAAAGAATGCTTGACCATTTCATGATTGTAGAGCATGACCTAATTGATACTACGTCTAATGATATAGAGGAAGAAAGGCAAATAGTTGCAAGTTCTCAACCTCTGAGCCCAATGGCAAAAGTGGCTAACCTGATAGATTCTTATTTAGCTGAAGTTGCACCTGATGTAAATGTGAAGTTACCAAAATTTCAATCACTTGCTGCTGTAATTCCTGATCATGTCAGGACCCTGGATGACGGTTTATACCGTGCCATTGATATATATCTCAAGGTACAAAATAAAATCTGTAATTTTCCTTCCTTAAATGTAGCAAAATGTGATGTGGTCTATGAAGGATACTAACGGACTCAAAATTTCAGAATCATCATTGGCTGACAGACTCGGAGAAGGAACAAATCTGCAGGCTCATGAATTGCCAGAAGCTGTCATTGGAAGCCAGCACACATGCAGCTCAAAATGAGAGATTACCACTTCGTGTAGTAGTCCAAGTCTTGTTCTTTGAACAACTGAAGCTGCGCACATCTGTTGCTGGCTGGTTCTTTGCTTCTGACAATGTTGAGAACTCACAAAACCTGAATGCAAATCTGCCTCTGATAAGAAATGATGGCAGCATTCCACACAACCCGGTTGTGGCTTTTGATAACATGAAAGAGAGAGTGGCTGAACTTGAGAAGGAGTACTTGAGCATGAAGCAAGATTTGGAAAAAATGATGAAGTCAAAGGGAGGTTGGAACGTGCTCCTTAGGAAATTGGGTTGGAAGCTTGTGCCTAAACCCTCTAATGCCAATGTCTCCAAGCCATGCCGGAAGTCCAAAATATCACCAGCAACTACAGCCCAGATGGAAGAAAAGGCCATGGAAGTGAAATGAAAGACTTGAAGTTGAAAAACAATTTGCAATGCTTTTCCTTTTTCTCTTTGAAGTTTTAAGATCATCTAGTTGCTTCCCTTATTCTACTTAGACATTAGAACTTGGAAAACAGTATCTCTTTTGGCCGAAGGCCATATTCCTAGTCAGATAAATGGCTATTGCCATACCCGTTTATGTTTAGTTGGAAAACTGAGAAGCTTTTCTATATATATCATATGTTCTTCCATTCACGATCACTTTCCAAATTCAAAGGAAGATCTTTGAGATTCAGTTTTAAGAGTAGTTCATTGCACAATGAAGGAGAGACTACATCAGTAAAATAGTTTAGTTGAAACAATCCTGAAATTCTCCCATACTTCCATCTACTATTTGTTAGTACTTTACTTACAACTTGCAAAAACCCTCATGTTAGCCGTTCTTAAACGTTTTTCAACCTTTATCTAACTAATCTTATAAAGACATTGGTCAGTTTACTATTAGTGATTTTTATTTTATGAAAGTTGGAAGTAGAAAACTTTGAACAATATGTTGAGAAAGAATGTTTGGCTATATGTTGCTTGACTAGTAAGAAACAAAACATTTGCACACGTGCCATGACATGGTTATCCAGGTTGTTATCATTGTGGGAGTGTAATGTCAGATGTAAAAAAGAGACACATTTAACATGGAGGTTTTCTGCATAAGAATTATATGTTTTGCAAATGCATGATAATCAGAATAATGTTTGTTTATAAAATATATTTGTATATTTTGTTCATTATTACAACGAATACCCCCAATACTGGGTTTGTTTTATTTTTTATACGTACTTTGATTTTAATTAATTAAATGATTTATTATAATACAAACCTTAACATATTATATGTTTACTTGTCTACTGATTTTTATAAAATATTGACACCTCAAAGAGCTAAAATAATCCCCTCCTATTCTCCAATATCTAATGAGAACTATTGAATGTATCGAAAGAAAATGTTGTTATATAAGAATTATTTAAGAAATAGAATTATATTATTAGGTGTATATAGTATTTGGAAAAAATATAAATTTTTAAAAGGATGTAAAATTAAAAGCAAATCAAGAAGAGTTGAAAAAAAATCTAATTCGAAACACCGGTTGGTTAAAAAAAATAAAATCTAAATTATTTCAGAAAAAACGATTAGGCATAAGTTCAAGTAATATTTTTGGAATATAAATTTAGACTAAGTTTTCATTAGATATTGGCATATAGGAGCGGATTATTTAGAAAACAGAACACTACCATTTAAAGTTGTTTCTTCGGAACAAAATTACAGAGAAAAAATAAAGAAGCGAAAATCTTTGGTGTTTGAGAAGGACTTGTGTTGTGAAGAGGTAAGTTTTATTGTTCTGAATGTTCCTCTTCTTATCTTACCCTTCTGCTTCCCACAATTAAATCACTCCCTACACTATCCAACCAATCATTTCAATTCATTCCCTTTCTGTCCAGATCAAATCGTTTCCAAACAATTAATAAAAAAAATTACATTTTTCATTCCCAAAACTGAATGCCCCAATCTTCTGAACCCTAAGGTTAGTTAACAACCGCATATGGTTGGCGTGAAAGAAGCCTTCTTCAGTTTGTAGTCGCATCGAGGCTTGTGTGTGTGGCTGGAGTTTGCGTGTATGTTTTCTTATTGCGACTCTGTGTGGCTTGAACATTACATGTTTGATAGAATGCCAAATCTAGTGGCATGAATGAATTGGTAATCGGTTGAGTTTTCTTTTCACTCGTCATGTCACTAGGCTGAGATTTCAGGCCAACATTTGAATTCTGTGACCAATAATAATGACTACGGTCCAGAGTGAGGGGGCAGCAAAAGGAACTGCCACAACTGACAAAGCATTCAAAAGATGGGGAAGGAGAAGCCCATTTTTGAGATACGGCCTTCCTATGATCTCTCTCACTGTCCTCGGCTCAATAGGCCTTGCCCAACTCTTGCAAGGCAGGTTAGTTACTGCCCAATAAGCTTTGTGTTTGAGACAAAATAGTTGACGTGTTTTGGCTTTAGAATTATTAATCTGTTCGTTATATTTTTCACTGTCATTCAATCACACGCACACGAACATATTTTTGTTTACACAACAACTATCTTTAAATTTACGTTTACCACATTTTCTTATTATTTGACAATGTAAATTTCTTGTAGAGACAGTGTATAAAAATTTAACTTCTTGTGTTTACCCAACCCTTCTTTTTTCATTGCTCATTCTATTTTACTTCGTCCTCATTCTAAAATATAATGCAACTGTGTCTGCCCAGCAAGGATATTGCAAGGGTGAAAGATGATCAAGAGTGGGAAATAATTGAAACAAGAAAAGCATTGTCTAGGACAGGACCAGTGCATGCGTACAATCCAAAACAGATTTCCTTGGACGATGAGCTAAAGGTCTGTTTTCCTCTTCATTAACAATACAGCGTCGTCTAGATTGTCCATAATTTAATTTCTATTTGTTGCTGCATAGGCTTTGCAACAAAAGGTGGACATTAACAGCTATGAATACAAGAAAATTCCTAAACCAAATGAAGGCAATCAAGACTAGTGTAGAGTTGCGGATTGGAAACAACTTTTGTCAGAATTTCTCATGTACCGTTCTGGAAATAAACTTTTATGGAGTCAAAAGCTAATTCCATCTTGCTAGTGAAGTTGGTATGGCCCTTCATCTTTAGTGTTTTGACTTTTGCTTACGACATTATGGGAGTTGAAGTTGAGATAAAATTTTGAAATTTGTGTACCAATGATTTTTAAGTACGGTGCTGGGAATAGATAAAGGTACTCGCTTGGCTCTAAGGGTGAAAAAGTGTAAATGTTTCTTGTCATGTTTTAGTTTGTCGTTTTTACCTATCTTGCAGTGATGCACATTGGATGTTATAACGATAATCCTAATGGAGCCACTTTAGCCGTCACAAAACTCAGCACCGTGGTTCATTTTCAGTGTTATCAAGTAAAATTGCTCCTAGAATTATTCGAAATGGTAAGCGGATTTACTGACCTGTACCGAAAGTTTATATCTATAGGCTACAAAAAAGATTAATACATTTCTGAAATTACTTTGTAAGGACGTGGTTACTTGTTTGCAAGCAAAGTACAATATTCCACCTATTGTTTAAACTACAATTTAAAACCCCAACTGCCTCCGCAACATTAAACTTTTTACTCCCAGGAATTGCATGATGACTGCAATTACGTCTTTGATGAACAATTTTCTACTGCATTAACTATCACCAAATAACTGCAAATACAATTTAGAACACTGTCACCTTCCAAAGTCGCTAATATATGTACAATGATCTAGAAAAAGAATCCCCACTATATATCTTTGATATTGTTGAGATCCACAACTTTGAGGCCAAGGGCGAAAATATCTATACACCACGATAAGTGGGTCTCAAAAGGAAACGAAATAAGCTTCTTGGTGAAAGTTATGATCAAAGTGTATTTTATGCAACAATAAATTATTTGGATTCTGCTAAATTCTTCAAGAGACTAGTTCAGAATTTTCCATTCCCCAAAATTCTGCAAAAGTTTTGGTAATGATTTGACAGAATTTCCATGAAACCAGCTACCAAATTCTAATCATGAAATCGTGATCCCTGACAAGTAATGACTCTTGTTGCAATAGACCAAGGCAACTAGAACTTGCCTTCTTTGTGCAAGTTTATTGTTGGTCTTTTAGTGGATAGTTCTCTGGTATATTCAATTTGCGAAATCTATAAATAAAAAGGTTTTGGTGGGATCGTTAATGCCCAATCCAAATACCTATATTTTGGCTTTTGGACATACTATTAAACTCTGGTTTTAATATTTGGTTTGAGACTAAATTTAGTCTGTCTGCAACCTGTGTAGTTAAAAGGTTAGTCTACATGATGAGCCATAGTCCATCATCTAAACACATGGCGAAAAACAAAATGCTAAAATAGAACGGGATCACAAATAACTAGAATAGAATGATGAACCACACTACAACTAATTATAAACATGTCCATGTATGGCAGAGATGGGTTCACTGGATTTGTCGTTTCAGACCTGCTTGCACGTGACTTTTATCAGTGCAATACATTAGTCACATGTGACTTGCATGGTTTCTCCCTATATGCAAACAACCTAGAGTGCTGTGTAAGAAAAAAACAAAATTCTGTTGGACCACTTCAGACATCATACCACTGCTCCTAAGGCGATGGAGTAACAATTTTCTAATCCCAAAAGCGTAGTTTTTTTAACATATTTTAGAAAATGATTCAACAGTGTGTACACAAACTAGATAAATAGGAAGATGAGAAAAAAAAAATGTGAGATAAGTGATGTCATAAAGATAAAGAGAAAAGGTGTGCAAATTTAGTTATACAGTTTTTCTGCTAATAATGTTACTCATCTCAAAATACTGCTTGCCAGCGAACTATATGCTTTTAACAAGAGCAGTCATAAATTATTGCCTTTTTTTAGTATAAAAATAAAAATATCGAAAGTAAAAAAATTCCAATGACTTAATACAACTAATGACTAGATGTTTAATTTTTTGGTGTTTCTCATTTTTTTCCTGTTAGTGTTTATAAATAAATCAGTTATTTATGTTTCAGTTAGTGTACATAATAGCATTGTACATTATATTTAGAGTGTCTATATGGGACTGCTTAAATAAATTATTTATCTTAATTTTGTGCACCTATCACATAAAATTTCTCTCTCATACTACAATTGTTAAACTGGATGTTTAACTTAATTTTGTAAGAGTTACCACTAACACATTCTTTTAGTAATTACTATCATTCAAAACATATTTTTTTTCTTAAATAATAATGCTCATGTAATTAAAACTACTTATCCAAACAACGTTACATCGTGCCATCTGTTCCAATAATAAATTTTATTAAAAAAGTTATTAAACTTTAAACAGTCTTATATAAACAAATGACCTAAAGTTATTTATTACCAAAAAAATAATACGAATTCATTTATTGCAAACTTTATTCAAAACACTCTACATCTTATCTCACTTAGTTGAGTTAATTTGAATTAATCGTCGACACAACTACTAGATAAAGGAAATGACCCGAAAAACAACTGATATAGTCCTTATTTTTAACAGAACAATAATTTTTGAAAGGAAGAATAACTCTAAAAGGACTACAATTGTGAAATGAAGCTAATAATTTTGTGTTAAGAACAGAACTTTAAGTCTAACTCAATCTCACAAAATCGGTTTGTAAGGTGAGGTTTGCACCCATGTATGTATATATATATATATATATATTATAAATTGGTCTTATCTTTAGTCAATGTGGGACTTCTAACACACACACATTTCACGCCGATATAAATACATCTCAAGCCTGAGACTAGACATTAATAGGTGGTCCGATAACGATTCGATAGCGGATAAAACAATATGTCCAACAAACAACAAATATAGCTAAGATAGACTCTAACTTGACTGTGATACTATGTTAAAAAGTGAATTTTAAGTCTAACTCAATCTCACAAAACCAGTTTGTAAAGTGAGGTTTACACCCACTTACATATTATGAATAGGTGTTATCTCTAATCGATGTGAGGCTTCCAACAACTTTTACTAAGAAGGGTAACATGGGTAGACTTAAAAACAATTTTAAGAACAGAAGCATACTATTGGATATCCTAGGACAATCTCCTTTACAATTTATTTTTGAGAGATTTAATTAAACTTAAAATTATTTTTTAACATGTTATTTGGTACGTATTAGAACTTATTCTAACAATATTTATTGTACAAAATTTATATATTTTAATATAAAAAATTAAATTAGAATTAAAATCTACTACTTAAAATTAAAAATTAAAAATTAAAAATTAAAAATACATGTAAATGTATGAACTAGGACAACCTTTAATAAGTAGTACACTAAATTTTGAAACAATTTAAGTCGGATCATTAAACTGATTGAGTTTTGAACGTGCTAGTACAAACTCCGCATAAAACTCAACAGGTGGACGAGTTGTATTATTATGCAAAGTTTGGGTGCATTCAACCATTGCCCAACTACCATTAATCTGGCAAGTCAGAGTTTGGTAGTGTTGAGAAAAACTCATCTTAAACACTTAAATATTTTTCTAAAATTAAATTTACTATTAATTAATAATTCAAGGGCATGACATTTATAATATTACGAAAATAAAAATAAAATCCAGTGAAATATCAACTACTTTAAAAGTAAAATATGTTTAATTTATCATAAAATAATATTATACTTAACTAAATCAAAAATTATTTTTATTTTATCTCTGTCAAAATCAAATTAAATATTACTAACTCAAAAACTAATAAAATAATATTTAAAACAAAATTATTAATAAAATCTTAAAATTTAACTTCATCCTATAGAAACTAGAAAACCTTCGAATTCACGAACGTTTACTTTGGCAAACTGTGGCATTCTTTCCTACAGAGATGGAGATATGTAACAGACAAATTACTGAAAAGAACAAGTTGAGAAAGAATTGAAAACATATATTATACTGATGAGATCATCCCAACCATTTGCACAGCTACAAGCTTTATACCCAGGTGTCCCAGAAAAAAAAAAGGCATTCTTCTGTATGTACACCACCCCAAAAAAACGACATAATTAGAGGAAAGAAAAGTGAAGCCAAAAGAAAACCTTTTAACCCCCAAAATAGAAGAAACATAGTGTAGTAAATTCCTGTCTACTGCCCTTTTCTCCATTGGTTTTAAGTAACCCTCCACCCTTTCCTCAATATTTTATTCATTTTTACATATATTAAACAACAAAATCACAGCTCAAAGAAATCTTCTGTTCATGACTCCCGTGTACTACCACCCTCTCCCACATATTTCATAAGCCAAAATGGCAAAATCAGTGGAAGGGCTTAATTTGAAGATGGTTTCCCAAAATCCCAGTTGGATCACCGTGGCCTTGGTTGTGATCTGACTGACAACAGTGGCTGGAGAAGCCTCTGCCCTGATGGACTACCTAGTAACGTGGCCTGAGATCGAGTAAGCATCTCGGCCATTGATGGTGTCTGATATGCCTGAACAAGACTCGACCTATCAGTGGAATCACCTCTTGCTGTTGCTCTTTGCCATGAATGTGAACTCAATCCAGAAAGTATATATGCTCTCCCAGATGCTTCATACACATGTCTACTCGCCATCCGCTCTTGCATTTCCTTAAGCTCAGCATCTAATGCAACACATAGGCGGTCGTTGGATTTTGCCGAAACAGTCTCCGACAGCATCTTTCTAAAGTTTTCAAGAATTAATATTGCTCCACTCAGGTCCCCCCGTTCAGCTGCAACACGAGCCTGGGCCATTGTCTCCGCTGCTTGGAGCCTGTTGCGCTGTCTGTCCACTTCAAGTGACATTACTACCTGCCCAGACATTTCTGTCCGCTTAATCTTAACTTCCTCACTTTCTATTGTTGCTGTTTCCTGAGTTAAGGGATCCTTGTATACACATTTCACCTTTATCAATGATGTTTCATTGCCAGATGCAGCAGGGACATTAACTGACACTAGAAAATCTCTCTCTTCATCGGCATACAGGTCTCCGACTTCAATCAATCCTTTGCGTCCATCCGCCACCACACGGGTTGGGTAACTTCCTGCTTTTAGTGAGACGAGACTGAGATTTGGGTGTATACACTCAATTCCCACTTGAAGCTCCTGAACAACTACGCTCAGAAGTCCTCCAATACATTGTGCAAACGCATCCTGTAGCACGGCTTCAGTCTCGATGAAAGAAAACGTGCCACCAGAAATCTCTGAAATGGAGTGCATCAGTGAAGCATCGTGGTCTGCACCAAATCCAAAAGCATGCACAGGAATTTGAAATCCTGAACTATCATCACCACTGATAGAAGTGGGCAGAAGAAACTGGTAATTTGGTTGAGGCTGGTTAGTTCCAGAGCCATTGACAGTGTAATTATCTTGACCATCGGACAGCAGGATAATACTGGCAACTGGATTCTTTTCCTTTCGATCTTCCATTATCTTGGCACCTTTTCTCAGCCCTTCTGCAATATTGGTACCACCATTTGCAACCAAAGAATTAACAGCTTGCAGTGCCTGCTGTCGCCCAGAATCGGTCATTCTGCACAAAGGAAAAAGGCGACGAGCTGTGGAAGAAAAGGCAATAACAGAGAGCCGGTCATTAGAGCCTAGGTTCTGTATGACAAACCCCATTGCTCTTTTGAGCAGTGCAAGCTTAGTTCCAGCCATGCTACCACTCACATCAAGCACTGTGACCAAGTCGACAGGGGCACGTGGAGTCTGTGAAATCTGTGCCAAGTTTGCCTGGTTTCTGCTAAGGTTTTGTCTTTTAACTGCAGCTGTGTCTGCGGAAGCAGCAGCTTTGAGATGAACCAAAACTGTGAAGTTAGAATGAGTTTTGGATCCCGGAGCAGCAGATACTTCTGGGAATGTTTTAATCTCTATAGCTCTAGCAGCCTCAGTATCTTCAGTATTCTCAATGCAAGGACTTCGCTCAGAAAACACATTTTGATGATTCAAGGATTCATCATCGTCAAATATGCCTGGCTCAGAAGCCTGATAAAGTGGCACAACATGCCTCCTATTTAAATCTCGGTGAGGATGAGGTAGGGGTAGACGGTGGACCACTGCCATCAAAGCATCATTTTGGGGCCAATTGATGGGACTTGGTGAAACTCTGCCAGGGATAGGATCCAAACTGGGACCCGATAAGGGTATTTCCTTCCACTTTGCTCTACACACCGGACATATTTGGTTTCCATGTTTCACATTTGAAGCAATGCAGTGGAAATGGAAGGAATGTGAACATTCTGCAGTGAATATAGCATGGCCGGATCCTTGCTTCATTTTGGTTAAGCATATTGAGCAGGTTTGCTGAATATTTGAAAATAAAAGCTAGTAAGAACATATATAATATTATGAAAACTATTTCACAGACTTTAAAGGCTTCATGCAAATAAAGACAGTACCTGTATCAAAAATCAGTTCTAGTTCTAATAAAGGAAAAAGTCAAACAAATAAGAAAAGACAGTAATATTTTAATTCCAGTACTCATATTTGATATACGGAAGTTAAGAAAGAAAAAATCCTCTGCAATTTCATTTTCCAACCTTAAGTATTTTAGCTATTTAATTCAACATATAATATGCACAGTGGGAAATAATCTTCTATAGTCGAAGATATGTAGTGTTTGAATATTACCAAGTTACTTAATAAAATACTGTTGAAACAAACAACTCCGAAAACGACAGAGGGCAAATGCTATGATACATTGACTTAAAACACCCCTTTGCCATTATGATATTTCCTTTTCATATCTAGCATGTTGCCAAAATAAGGCTTAGCTATCATTCATAAGATCCCCAATAAGCAAAAGGCTTTTCAATTACAGAGATTTAGAGGGGTGGTGAAAAACCTAATCACCTTGTCTAGTCGGTCAGGCACACATGAATGCTACAGAAAGGGACTAAACAGCATTTGTACCGGCCCAAAAGTATGCAATCAAAAAATTGATTATTCAGCAAATCAGGTCTACCAGTCATCAAAAACTGCTACTATGACTTGACTAGATGAATAAGCCAACCAATACATCGTATAAGGATTGCTTTTAGAAGAAAAAAATTTCTTGGCCAATAGAAAGGAAAAGAAGGAAAAATCTTATCCATAAAAGGGGCATTGAAGCATGCAGCAAACAGTAATATCAGCTCAAGGCACATAAAAAGTACAACTGTTGATACAAAACTTCTAAATCACTTGTCCCTTGTATACACTTTGGTACAAGTCAATAAATTACAGCTCTAAGCCCAAGTTGCAGTACGGTAGAAGTAAGCTAAAGAAACCAAATCAACACAAGGAACTCAACAACTATGAAGGCATTTTGGTCCCGAAAAGATGGTAATACCGCCCTGAATATCAGTCCTTAATTACAACACCACGTGCAATTCAAGAAATCGTTCAAACTCATTACGCGATACTACCAAACGAATTCAAATGAACTTCACAATTAAATCACACACCAACCTTATATCTGGAACCATGTTACAGAAGACCGATATTCTCAGACACCAAAAAGATGCCACTTCATTCTCATGAACAGCTTAAGCAGTACATTAAAACAACAAAACCCGGTAATAACAAATCGTTACTTCCCTGACAAAAACATCCAAACACCCTTAAAGACATTTAATTTCCTTTTATGTTAACAAAGTTTAACCCGGATTCATTTCTTATTTTGAACACGGTTCAAAAATTTCTTATTTTGCGCAAATTCATTTCTAGTCCATCTAAACTTTCACAATCAACCAGACCAAAATAGAACTTGTCAAAATATTTAAATGAAAAACACAAACATACACACAGGAAGAGAAAGAGAGAGAGAGAGAGAGAGAGAGAGAGAGAGAGAGAGTAAGTAGTTGGAAATGAATGAAACCCAGACCTTGGAGGATTTGCTGCTACTTTTGGAAAGTTTCAAGCCGTGAAAAGAGGAAAGCGGCGTGGTGGGGCGGGAAGAGCTGGTGTTCCAGCTGGCCGGAGATAGTAGGGCGGCGTCGGAGAGGCGCTCGGAAACCACCGTGTGGGGCGGCGAATCGTCGTCTAACGTTCTGGGGACGAACATGCAGAGGTTGAGACCAAGCGCGACCTTGGCTTTCTTCCACTTGCTTGCCATGGTAGGAGACGTTGGGATCTCTCTGACGGCGAAAATGCTGCAACCCAGAAAGGAAAAAGCTCCAGCCCGGAAATCCCAGATCTCAAATGGTGAAAAGCTTCGAGCTTTGCAGAGAGAGAAGAAATGGGGTTTTATGAAAAGTAGGAAGGGAGCACGAAAACCGAGGCCACTGAATGAATAAATATATGCGTTGGAAGAGAGGGATGGCAGGAGGTACTAGCAAGCAATATAATGTAGCACTGGCATGGTTTGAGAAGGAAGTGCTTGGTTTGGTTTGGTCGTTGTTAATATTGAGGATGTTACGTTGGTTGTTGTTGTTTGTTGTTTACGTTGTTTTTGTTGGCGGCCATGGACTGGGTGTGCTGGAGATGAGTGTGTGTGTGTGTGAGTGAGGAGTATTTTGACCTGTTTTTTAGGCTCCTTTACCCAAAAGATTAAAGACAGGGTAAAAGCCATCAAATGAAATCATTTTCAAACAAATTATTATTATTATTATATATAAAAAATTTAGAAAGCACGTTTTGGTTGAATGGGAAAAGTTGGTTGCTCTACTACTTGCTTTGCTTTATTATCTCCTCTTTACTACCATCAGATCATATCATGTCATCATGTTCATCTCTTTCTTCTTTTATTGCTCTTTCCTCTTTCCTCTTTACCCTAACTATTTTCTTTTACATGTTAATCTTTTTCAAATTCTTCATTTAAATATTATTTCCAAAATTCAAGAAAATATTCATTATTTTTTACATTCTTTTTCTTCGTATAATACTTAATTGATTTACACACATAAGTATATTATGATGTTTATATACAATAATATAATTAGTTTTCTAGTTTTCTAGTTTTCATTTAATTATATACTAAAAGTACTAGCAAGACTTTTAACAAGTTACATGATAATAAATTCGTGGGTCATTTTTATTTCTGTATTGTTTATCTTGTTTAGACAAGGTGAAACTTCATTTATTTTTTAATTTCAATCTCATTAATATATTATTACTATTATCGGATAAAATATATATATATATATATATAATGAAAATAGCAGATGATGATTAGCTGATGCATATTTAATACGAAAGTATTGAAAAAGCTATTTTTTTGCTATCAAGTACGAGAATTTTTTTTTCTATTACAGTATTAATATCAATTAAAGTGCGCACATTTTATGACAGACTCGTTATGATTGACTTGGTTTGAATATCGATTGCTGCATTTATTTAGGTTAACGAAATCTAAATTCATCATCAGCATTTATTTAGATTTAAATTTCATTTGGACCAGTTGGTAGACTTGGTGTACTGTGTCGAAAGAAAGGAAGAAAAGTTGTTGGTTTGTTAACGAAGAGAAATGGGATGTCGATTCTCGCGTAGTAATGAAAAAACAAACATAATCATTGTCTACGATATAATTAAGTAGCTTAGTTTTTTAACCTAAATAGAGTAACAACATTAATAGTAAATAAAAATATTTATATTCATTTCTTTCTAAGTAAACACTTTATTTACCATTTTTTTTATTTTCTTTTCTTATTCACTTCTTTACTTTTTTCATTTTTATTAGATGGAAGATTGATAATTTGAGTTAATTATAATTTATTTCCATGTAAGTGGTCATTTGAGTTATCTATATTTTGAAACAACGTAAGTTTATCCAGTATTTTAATTTATATATCTATATATATAATATATATATATATATATATATATATCTTGCAACATGAAATTACGTAGAATTATATATTTTAAGTAAAAATAAAAATAAATTTCTGATGCTGAATTCGGTTGGTTGTCAATATTTTAATGTATTTATATTTTAGATTAGTTCGATATTAAGTTTAATTATTTAATATTATTTTTCTATCAAAGTATGTGAAAAATTAAACTTTACTTTTAATACGAAAGTCGCTAAAAGTTGAAACACATTCTTTGTTATGTGTTTTTAATTGACATATCAATGTAAAAGGTTTGAATATGGTCTGAACACAATTAACAAAAAAAATTATAATTAATATTTTTTCAAATAATTATAAAAATTAGTAAACTTAATTTAAAAACTGAATAACAACTATAATAAAACCTAATTTAATTAAGAAAGTATACATCCCCTTTTAATTATCTTCCAAAATAATTACATGTTTAGTCAGCTTTTGAGAAATACTTAAAAAGGACCAAAGAAGAAAAAAATAAAATAAAATAAAAACAGTTATTATACGAACGAACATTACAATATTTCTTTCACATAATAATTTAAATTATTATTTTAATTCATCTAACAAAATCCTCTATCACCCAGTTGACTTAAGCTTTCATCACAATCAGCCAAAAAGTCAAATAAACTTTCGTTTCTCACATTCTTTTTTTCCCTTCATTTCATCTCTGCATTATCTACAACACTTCACACGACTGCGTTTAGAATGAATCTGTCAATGCAGATCATCGCCACCGTCATGGAACCAACATTTAATAGTCAATTTGACATTAAGGTGTAAAAGAAGGAGACAATTTGTAGGCATATATTTTAATGCGTAACTAATAATAATATTAAAATAATAGTAATATTAATAATAATACTAACACTAATAATAATAATAATAATAATAATAATAATAATAATAATAATACAGTGTTATATAATTACTCTCAATGAAAGTCCTTAAGGCACCCTGGGAGGATGTATGAAATCTAATCTAATCTAATACAGTGACATTAGTGACAAGTGTGGGCATAATCAAACCTAATTGATGAAAACAGCTTTTCAATTATTGCAATTTCAGTCAAATCCTCCTTTAAGCCCCTTCACCTTTATTTATTTATCTTTTGCGAAAGGGGTAAGTTGGTAAATGTGCATGAGCATAAGTGGTTCATTTTCTGCTCACTGAGGCTAATCAAGATTAATAAAGTAGGGTTAGTGGAAGAAGATGGGAACATGGCATAACATAATCCTTTGAAGAGACAATGGTTTTTGTATAAATCTTAAAAACTATATCCCATAATTGAGTGTGTACATGACTTGCTTCCTTCCATGGCCCTCCCATGCATCATCATGGATGATCATTGTTCACCGGTGAGTCAACATGCTCAGATTTTCTTAATCATTCAAAATATCAATTCCCATGCTTTTTATTTTTATTTTTTTTAAATTCGTTTTTTATTTGTTTACCCCTCACATGAGATGATGATGTTGAATACGGCACACGTGCATGTCATCACAGCAGTTGTTTTGTGGTGGCCTTGTCAACCCTGTTGACATTAGTGCCTGCCAATGGATCTCATCACATGCCATTCATTTCTTTAAATTTCTTTTTCACCTTTTTTTTTTTGCAGTTAATGAAATTGCTTTCTGCTTTTTAAATTATCAAGTTGAATAATGAATGAATGGTAAATATGATTTAGGAGGTTGACCTATATGATGTTAATGGAAGCAAATGTTTGGCGTGCAAAATCTATAATTGCAGAAATCATATTGAGCACAGTGAAGAGTTCTGTATTACCCAAAGTGCCCTAATTATGTTACTTGTTAGCAATATAATTGACATGTCAAATATGGGTTTTAAGTCAAAATCACGTTAGGGAAAGGTCCACTTCTTTTCCTTCAAGACCGTGTTTGGCCATTTTCGGATTTTTCTTCGCTATTTTTTCTTTTTTAATTTAGTCCAAAGGAACAGTTAATACATCGGCCAAATAATTAATATACCGAATTAGTCTTTAACGATTCGAGCACCGGTCAAAATAATTTTTAAAATTATATAAATAAAAAAACGTGTTTGAATCTGGAATAATCCATCTTGCGTTTTTCTTAATAATTTTAAAACTTAGAATCTTCGCCGTTTACATGATTTATTATTCTATAAAATAATACTTCGTCAGGTGTCAAAAATTAAAATATAAATGTGAAAAATAAAGTCAAACTACGTGTTTTTGTAGCAGCCTTACAAATATAAGAGAGAATAATTGATAAAATAATTAAGATTAGGTGTACTTTTCTTCCTTTCATTTTTGTTGCCGCTAAAAAAACAGTGTTTTAAAAGTGGTAGAGATTGCTGTATATTCATAGTCCTTTTTTTTTCAAGTTCATCACTGTGTGTTAATATTTATAAATATAGAACATTTAATTTACGTATTTTAATTATATTGTAGTTTTGTACATTCATTTAACAAGTTTTATTACTTAAATTAGATTTATTAAAGTTTCTAGTATGAGTTTTATTTTAAATAGTGAAGATGTACTTATTAATAATAAAAAATATAAGACAGTGAATACTTTTTAAAATTTAGAATAGTCAAATAATTTTTCTTTTTGGAAGTACTGATAACGTCAAGGTTCAAAAATAAATTTATGAAATATATATAATAAAATTTTATATAAATAATTAAATTTTAATAAGATATATCAAACTCTTCCTTATTTGTATTCTACATATTCAATCCATATTTATAATGTTATTATTGTTACTTAGAGACGCAAAATGGTTCAAACTAAGCATAAGGATATATGATTTACTAAATAAAATTAATTTAGAACAATAGAATTCATTAATCATATATGTATGTTTTTCCCACATTAATGCTATAATGCTATAAATATATGACATTACAGAAAATTTCTTATCTCATAATTATTTTACGAAAACTTCTTATTGACTTAAGCATTAAAAAAAATCCTTCTATATAGAAATCCAGTCGCAATCAGGTAAGTATGCTAATAAATTAATAATACAATTAATTATTTAATTTATTTATCCAATTGTTAGGAGTGTAATCAAGCCAAGTTAAATTGATTTGCATAAATCTATTACCTAATCAAACAAACGAAATTTCAAGTTAGATTAAGTTGAATTTATATTTTTCATTAGACTCAGCTCGTTTGAACTCATCTCATCTTTATTAATTGTTGATCTAGTTTAGTCAATTAAATAAATAGTTTTGAATTTTTCTTCTTTTTCTAAATTTTGTAAATCCATAAATTATTTTTTAGAATATTTTAAAAAATAAGCCATATTATTTAACATTTTAAAGAATAATTAATTTAATATTTATAAAATAAATTGTTGAATCATATTTTTTATTGTTACAAATGGTGAAAATTATATTATTTTTTAAATTAGATTATTAAATTTTCTTTCTATGAATCAAACCCTCCTACTTAATAATTCTTTGAGGGCTAATTAACATATATTAGAATGGTTTTCTTAACCTTAGGAATTTAATTTATTAGAGTATATTTGAAGTATTTAGCTTTTTGCATGTTTTTTTACACCTTTTGATATGTCAAGATATCATTTGTTTTAGAAATAAGATAGGTTAACAACTTTTAGAAAATAATAAATTATGTGTCAATTAGAAGCTATCACAATATAGACTATTATAAAAAAGTCGTCAAAAAAAAGTTATTAATT